TGTATGATGTATGATGAATGATGTATGATGTATGATGTATGATGTATGATGTATGATGTATGATGTATGATGAATGATGTATGATGTATGATGTATGATGTATGATGTATGATATATGATGTATAATGTATGATGGATGATGTATGATGATTTTTGTTGGCTGTATGATGTGTGGAAGTGACGAAGTACCACATCAGTGCTGTGCCTTTGCCCTGTGTGCGTGGGATATGATATTAATAGGATATAATCAGACTCCTGATACAATGGAGCACATGGTTGAAAACGTGGTTTCGGTAAATGCGTGTCGGTACACGCATACGCCACGTACGTTACAGCATAAAAAGACGCAAGAGTGAGAGTAATTGCAGCGATATCAGAATGTTTACTGCCAAATGTGTTGAGTTTCTGACTTGTATTGTGATCGAACTTTATCGTTACTTGTTTTTTACGCTTCATATGTGTTTTCTTATTGTATTTTGATTGTTGTTATGTTTGTGTATTGATTGTGGGTTGTTTAATTGGACAGAAAGACGTTTCTCATGTTGTGTTGAGTTAGGAAGATATTAAGGTAGTAATTGTTTTTGGAATTGTTTAGGCTTAGGTTGAAGTGTAGATCAGCGAGGACGCTGAATCGATGACAGGGTAGTCATCGTTTTGGGGAAAAGGGAGATAATGTAACATGTGTTTTGCACGTGTTACATGAATTAGTCAATGGAGCTAGACTACTAGTTGTTTTAGTCATAGTCTAGCTAGACAGAGCGTCGCGCATCTTGTGCGGCTAGATTGATGTTATAGGGAGAATAGTAAACGAGTTTTAGGTCGGACGTGAGTGCGCGAGGCACGCGTCTGCGTGCCTCTGTGCGAGCGTATGTGGTTTGAGAAACAATATACTATTTGCTGAACACAACTGCTTGGAGTTTGGAGTTTCATATTATTCATCGCTACAACAGATCTACATTTAAGCGGGTAACGTCATCATCTTCATTACATTTTGGTTGCCGTGACAGTCCAAAACCTGGGTATCCCTTTGCGGACACAACGCAAGTTAATTCATTATTATATCAATCTACGGGCCAGCAACGAAACAGAGGAAGAATGACGGAGCGAGAGAGGGAGAGAGAGACGGAAAGAGCGAGTTCCGATGACGAGATGGGAGAGAGTATAGCCGAAACACTATATCGATCTACGGGCCAGCAACGAAACAGAGGAAGAATGACGGAGAGCGAGAGAGGGAGAGAGGGACGGAAAGAGCGAGTTCCGACGACGAGATGGGAGAGAGTATAGCCGAAACACTATATCGATCTATGGGCCAGCAACGAAACAGAGGAGGAATGACGGAGAGCGAGAGAGAGAAAGAGGGACGGAAAGAGCGAGTTCTGATGAGGAGATGGGAACCAGGCTGCGCTAGCGCCGCCAACGATGACGATGGCGACGAGGATCGGCTGGAGATCGTGAAGAAGGAGGACCGTTGCGGCCGCCGCGTCGGCAAAGATTGTCAACGGAGAGAAGAAGCGACGAAGCAAGGAAGAACGAAACAAGAACGCAACTTACAAGGAACAAGAACGTAAGAGATAAACGAAACGCAAATACTTAAATGGGTGAGTGAAACAAACTGTGCCGGCATATAATCGTAGGTAAAGTTAAAAACGATAGTTTCAAACCACAGCGTATAATATACAAGGTGATAGTGAAATATTCAAGCACTTTGCCTGTATACACATGCACCATGTGTCTTATCCCTTATTTAAAAGGTGCATATGTTAAGTTATTGAGATGCGTATAGGCTACTTGCGAAGAGAAACAATATTTATAATAATGAAAGCCGATACAGTTGTTTCACAAACTTACCTGGCATTGTGTGCATGTATGTATGTATGTAGGTTTATGGTTGTTTGTATGTACGTTTTTAAAGTTGTCGTTACGGTACGTTTAAACTATATTGTCAGACCGCTAAACACATTCTTCAATTAGAGTTTGATTATAGGCCAAAAACATTTCATCGAAAATATGAAATCAGTTTTGCGTATTTTTGTTGGCTGTATGATGTATGATGTATGATGTATGATGTATGATGTATGATGTATGATGTATGATGTATGATGTATGATGTATGATGTGATAGAGGGGGATTAGATAAAATATTAAAAGACGGGGGGATAGCTAGATAGACGGGGAGGATAGATAGATAGACGGGGGGATAGATAGACGGGGGTGGGATAGATAGATAGTACGGGGGGATAATAGATAGGCGGGGGATAGATAGATAAGACGGGGATAAGATAGATAGACGGGGATAGATAAGATAGACGGGGGATCAGATAGACTAGACGGGGATAGAATAGATAGATGGGGATAGAAGATAGACGGGGGATAGATAGAATAGACGGGGGAATAGATAGATAGACGGGGGAATAGATATAGATATGAACGGGGGGATAGAAATAGGATTAGAACGGGGGGGGGGATAATAGAATAGACGGGGGGATAGATAGCATAGACGGGGATTAGGATAGATAGACGACGTGGAGAGATAGATAGACGGGGGATAGATAGACTAGACGGGGGGATAGATAGATAGACGGGGGATAGCTATATAGACGGGGGAATAGATAGATAGACGGGGAATAGATATAGACGGGGGATAGAATAGATAGACGGGGGGAAATAAGATATATAGTATATAACGGGGGGTATAGATAGAAGACGGGGAATAGATAGATAGGACGGGGGGATAGATAGATAGACGGGGGATAGATAGATAGACGGTGGGGACTTAGATAGAGATAGAAATACGTGGGGAGGATAGACTAGATAGATCGGGGGAGTAGATAGATAGACGTAACGGGATAAAGATAGATAAATCGAGGCGGGATAGATAAATAGACGGGGATATATAGAATATAGAGCGAGGGGGGATAGATAGAATAGAACAGGGGATAGAGAGAGACGGGGAGAAAATAGGATAGACAGACGGGGGATAGAAGATAGACGGAGGATAAATAGATGAGAGCAGGGGATAGGATCGAGAGTAGAGACGAGGGGATAATAGATAGAAACGGGAGCAAACGAGATAGATAGCGGGGGATACGAATAGAGGAAGAGAGCGGAGGGGGGATAGGTAGATAGAGCGGGGGGATAGATAGAATAGACGGGGGCGGAAGATATGAATAGACGGGGGAAAGAATAGATAGACGGGGGAAGAGATAGATAGACGGGAGGCATAGATAGATTATGACGAAGGGGGGATAAGTATAAAG